CACCTCCCCTCTTCTCATTCTTACGACTAATTTTATTTCTGTTCAGTATAAGATCACTTCATTCAGATCGAATAAATCACCGAAGAGGAGACAGGGTGGGTGGGCGGGGCTAATTATGTTCTTCTCTCGAGTGGGAGTGGAAACTAATAATAACAGAATATAGGAAATGAAAAAGTAAACAATAATGCTAATAGTAACTTTTTTTTTGTTATACTATTTACTACAAAATTGATTTCTCATTTCATCTGACCTAATTTCAACTGATTTTCGAATATAGCTGAAAAATAGTCTAAGATGTCAAAGAAAATTTCTTAGAGGGTATGTCATTTGCCAAAGTTAGTCTTATCTTACTAAGTATTAGCCCCGCCCACCCACCCTCTATTTTCTTGGAAGGTACGTCATCTGCCAAAATCAATCTTACCTTAACAAGTACTAGCCCCTCCCTCCCCCACTCTTCTCACTCTTACGACTAATTTTATTTCTGTTCAGTATAAGATCACTTCATTCAGATGGGATAAATCACCGAAGAGGAGACAGGGTGGGTGGGCGGGGCTAATTATGTTCTTCTGTCGAGTGGGAGTGGAAACTAATAATAACAGAATATAGGAAGTGAAAAAGTAAACAATAATGCTAATAGTAACTTTTTTTGTTATACTATTTACTACAAAATTGAATTCTCATTTCATCTGACCTAATTTCAACTGATCTTCGAATATAGCTGAAAAATAGTCTAAAATGTCAAAGAAAATTTCTTAGAGGGTATGTCGATTGCCAAAGTTAGTCTTATCTTACTAAGTATTAGCCCCGCCCACCCGCCCTCTATTTTCTTGGAAGGTATGTCATCTGCCAAAATCAATCTTATCTTAGCAAGTACTAGCTCCGCCCACCTCCCCTCTTCTAATTCTAACGACTAATTTTATTTCTGTTCAGTATAAGATCACTTCATTCGGATCAGATAAACAATCATTGAAAAAGAGACAGGGTGGGTGGGCGGGGCTAATTATGTTCTTCTGTCGAGTGGGAGTGGAAAGTAAGAATAATAAAATCGAGGAAGTGAAAAAGTAAAAAACAGTGATAATTGTAACTTTTTTCGTGTACTATTTGCCACAAAATTGATTTCTTATTTCGTCTGACCTAATTTCAATTGATTTTCGGATATACTTGAAAAACGGTTGAAAATGTCAAACTTGCCAAAATGAGTCTTATCCTATCAAATATTAGCCCCGCCCGGCCACCCTCTATTTTCTTAGAGGGTATGTCATTTGCCAAAGTTGGTCTTATCTTACTAAGTATTAGCCCCGCCCACCCACCCTCTATTTTCTTGGAAGGTATGTCATCTACCAAAATCAATCTTATCTTAACAAGTACTAGCCCCGCCCACCCCCTCTCTTCTCATTCTAACGACTAATTTTACTTCTGTTTAGTAGCTTCACTCAGATCGTATAAAATCGATCACTGAAGAGGAGACAGGGTGGGTGGGCGGGGCTAATTATGTTCTTCTGTCGAGTGGGAGTGGAAACTAATAATAGAACCTAGGAAGTGAAAAAAAAAAAACAATGCTAATCGTAACTTTTTTTTTGTTATACTATTTGCAACAAAATTGATTTCTTATTTCATGTGACCTAATTTCAACTGATTTTCGAATATAGTTGAAAAATGCTCGAAAATGTCAAAAGCGCCAAAATCAGTCTTATCCTATCAAATACTAGCCCCGCCCGCCCACCCTCTATTTTCTTAGGGACTATGTCATTTGCCAAATTTTGTCTTATCTTACTAAGAATTAGCCCCGCCCACCCGCCCTCTATTTTCTTGGAAGGTATGTCATCTGCCAAAATCAATCTTACCTTAACAAGTACTAGCCCCGCCCACCCCCTCTCTTCTCATTCTAACGACTAATTTTATTTCTGTTTAGTAGCTTCATTCAGATCGGATAAAGTCGATCACTGAAGAGGAGACAGGGTGGGTGGGCGGGGCTAATTATGTTCTTCTGACGAGTGGGAGTGGAAACTAATAATAATAAAATCTAGGCAGTGAAAAAGTAAAAAACAGTGATAATCGTAACTTTTTTTTGTATACTATTTGCCACAAAATTGATTTCTTATTTCATCTGACCTAACTTCAAGTAATTTTTGGATATAGTTGAAAAATGGTCTAAAATGTCAAAAGCGCCAAAATCAGTCTAATCCTATCAAATACTAGCCCCGCCCGCCCACCCTCTATTTTCTTAGAAATTATGTCATTTGCCAAATTTTGTTTTATCTTACTAAGTATTAGCCCCGCCCACCCGCCCTCTATTTTCTTGAAAGGTATGACATCTGCCAAAATCAATCTTATCTTAACAAGTACTAGCCCCGCCCACCCACCCTCTTCCCATTCTAACGACTAATTTTATTTCTATTTTATATTATCTTTCGATGCTTATCATACAGATGTTCACTTTTTATTTTTGAAGACTATTTTCAGTATATACAGGGTGAATCGCTCGAACTATTCCAACTTGTTTTCTGTATTAAAGTTGATAATTATTGCGATTTTGTATGTTTGTAAGAGACTCACTAACGTATCAAGTAACAAGATGCAGGAATAACATACACCCTGTATATTAAAATTGTATTTAATGAATGATACAGCGTACCTCTGTTTGTCTCCATAAAATATTACAACACAGATATTAAAATCAACACTATCTACGTTTTTTCGAGAAAATTAGATAACGTGGCAACGTCGCATCGGGATTTCAAAAATAAACAATGGCTATAAAAGCTAATGAGAGACTAAAGAAAACATACAGGATGATGAAAAAAAAGACGTATTTGCTCGATGGTACGTTATTAAGAAGCTCTGCTGAACTCGAAAAAACGGGTTAAAAAAATCTCTGAACCAAATTTTTGAAAATATTAAATTTCAAAATTGAAAAATTGACTTAGTAATTCTGATGTTCTAATGTGAAATTAACTAAAAATCTAAAATTTCGAAAAAAATGGTAAAAATTACACGTGTTAACAGTAAAAAATTATTATTACTAAATTATTAATAAGTAATTATCGAACTGTCTATTAAGACATTAAAAGAAATTAGAATTACCAAGTTATTACAATTCTCCAAAGCCATCTTAACAACGTATCATCGATCACGTACGTCATTTTTTCATCACCCTGTATAAGAAAATATACAGGGTGTTCTATTGAAAAAAAAAAACAAGGCATATGCTGTACCTCCAAGAACCGTGTACACCTTTAGCCTTTAACTTTTTTTTCTATGTAATACTTAATGAGAATCTTCGATGCAATTCTTGTACATAAAAAAAATGCAATACGGTTATTTTTATAATCTGAGTTACAATATTTTTATTCTAAAACGTTACAATGTGCAAATATCGATATTTCAGTTGTTTCAAACTGAACACCCTGTATTTAATTGCTCTATTTTTGTTAGGTTAAAAGAGCGAAAAATTGCAGAAACTATCGATTTCAGATACAGAAAATAATAAAATACAGGGGGTTCTATTTGAAAAAATGGAAATATCGATATTTAAAAATTGTAAGACTTTAGATTTTTTTATAAACACCTGTATATTAAGACTAAATTTAATTTACACCAGAACCAAATCCAAAATAACTCTATTGCGTTTTTTTTTGGAAACTTTGTATTGCTAGGAAATTTCAAGAAATTTTTATTTTAAAACCTAGGAATAGGCAAACGAGATGCATAATATACAAAAATTTAGAGGGTGCTCTACATGTATAAAAAAGTTGTGTGTTATATCTAGTACATCCTGCATAGTTAAAAATCAGTTTTATTTATATTTACACATCATCGAAAAAAATCGTCTAAGCTAAGCTAAGAAATTTATTTTTAAAATAATAATGTTGGCATTGTGCAGTTAGTTGACACTTTATTTGACAGTTATTTGATCCTAAATGTCAAAATGATTAATAACAAGAACAAGGAGCGCCTTGGTTTGCCAACATAATTTTTAAATTTCAAACATAGCTAGACGACTTTGATTCTCAATTATTTGCTATTTTTAGTCATACTTCAGACGTTTAAAACGTAATTTCAAAATTTTCTTACACAATATCATTGAAAACCACTATTTTTCATTATGTTCGTATTGTGTTTATCTTCGGCAATCCCGGAATTTTTACGCTTTGACTATCTCTTATCACTGACTTTTATAAATCTCATCGTATCCAAACTGACACCAACTTAGATATTTTAAACCCTGTCAAGATTTTATCGTTCAAAAAAATCCCGGACGACTTTCGAATTGGAATTTTGAAGTGTAATAACACAAGTTAATAATATCCGACGTATTTTTTTTAGTTAATTAAATTGGAAGCGCTTCTAGTACATCCGATATTTTTTAGAACATACAACCGCCAAGGTTATCTATACCTTCCATTATTTCCAAATCTCTAAATTTGTTACAAATCCGTTATTATAACTAATTCCCGTAATCTTACTAATTTTAAGGTTAAAAATAACTACAAAGTTAGGATTTCCGGTGCGTTGAGGTCGATATTTATTTAGTAAAAATTTAAACTGCAGCGATTTTGTTATTTATTGCCTCCTTAGTTATTTTATTTTTTGAAAGTCCGCAACAGAGGGGACTCGTCGCACAACAAAATTTAAATGTCATTGTCATTTTTCGCCTCCCTTGCGCTGAACGAGCACACTTCACAAAATGCAAAACGTGTGCATCATACACACTTATACAGTGTCTGGTGTTATTGTGTTAAAAAAAAAACAAATTTAAACATGATGCACTAACAGCAACAAATAAACAAAATATAAAAAAAATATACAATAGAAAAAATATATACAAAAGACCACTACCATTAAACAATTAGTAAAAAAAGAAACAAACACCAAAAAGCAAAGTAACTAAAACGCAAAACTTAATGAAATTAAAATTTTCAGTAGTAACGAATTGAATCGGATTAAAAATCGGAAACTAAAACCGTTATTATCGAGTAGTAAAATCGGCGGCGACTTACCTCTCTGATGGTGAGTGTGTGAGAAACCATCTGTATGTTGTTCTGGCTCTGGCTGTTGGGAAGATTCTCGCTGGATCTAGACCTGACTAACTGCCTAGATCCGTTTATCACATTTTTGCTTTTCAATACCATTTCGGTACGGATGAAAACCCGCGAGATGTAAGCCGAACTGAGTCCTCGGATCCCGAATGCGACCTTCAACAATTTCTGGGGTGTCACCGGCATTTCCTTGCAGAATTTGTTCAAGGCCGCGTCGATGCCGTTCCTCTGGATCTCAGTCATCCATTCGGAGGACGGCGACGAGGACGCTTTGTGGAAAAGGATAAGAATTGCCATCGCCGTCCGGTAGAGAACCTGCAACAAAGAAAAAATGTTGAAACAATCTTAATAATCACATTACTTTAGATCAATTGTTATTTAAGGTGGAAGTATTTTTGACAAAATTTCACGCCGTTTTGGTGTTTCAAAAGAAGGATCAGATTCATAATTATTTTTGTCGTTCATATAATTGCCATTAAAAAATCTTGAGTTATGATTTCATGGTTCCACAATTTAAGCAAAAAATAAAAAATCAGCTTTCAAGTCAAAAAAATAATAAAAAACAAAATTCACGAAATCAAATTTTATAATTTTTCGAAAAATTATACTGTATTTGTACTGTATCTCGCGGAATAAATTTGGACTGATTTTTTTTTTTAAGAAAACAGGAATCTCAAGATACTTTTTATTAAAAAAAGATTAGGGACCCTAATATTCTTTTAATTTTTTTTTTCAAAAACAGAAGGCCAGGGCCCCCAAGATTTTTCGAAACTTCTTACAAATTTTTTTCAAAAATAAAATCAGCTCCCCTCAAGATTCCTTTAAACTAAAAATATAATAGCAGGGACCCCAAGACTCTTTTTAATTCTCAAAAAAGACACTAGAAACCATGATTATTCACAACAAAGTCTTAGATAAATTATAAAATTTGTTAAACGAAAGATATGTAGTATGTATTTAAAGCGAAGATAAAGAAACATGTCACTCGTATGTTTTAAGTGAGTTTTTCAAATAAAATCGAAGACTTTATCAAAGATAAGGAAAACCACAAAAAAACGATAAAAACTACAAGAAAAAGTCGACAAAAAAGTCGTAGAAAGATAATATATAAAAAACAACAAAAAGTGGGACAAAAAACGACAGAAAAAAACGATTAAAAACTACAAAAACAACAAGAAAAACTATAAAAAAGGAACCTACTCTGAAAAAAACGACGAACAAAAATGAGCGATAGAAGATCAACAAAAAAGATGACCAAAAGGGCATCAAAATGGGGACAAAAAACTTCAAAAAAAAAACGACATAAAAAAGACGTCAAAAATCGGCAACCGAAAAACATCAAAAAAGGCAACAAATAAGTTATAAAAATAGGAGATAAAAACGGAGACAAAAACATAACCAATACAAAAGTAAGCAGCAAATAAAAAACAGCAAAAGGAACGACAGAAAGAGCAATCAAAAAAAGTTATTAAAAAGAGGACAAAACAAGACAAAGTAAGGCGATAAATAAGGGTAACAGAAAACAGAACAAAAAGAGTATAAAAGGGCGATAAAAAAAAGAAACAAAAACGTGATCAACAAAAGCCACAAAAAAGGCAACAAACAAAGGACGACAAAAAGAGCAACAGAAAAAAAAGACGACAAAAGAGGGCATTAAAATGGGGACAACAATGACATAAAAAGGCGACAAAAATATACAAAAAGGCCACAAAAAACGGACAGAAAAAGGGTAACAGAGAACCAACAAAAAAGAGACAAAAGCGTGAACAACCAAAGTCACAAAAAGGCAAGAACACGACTAAAAAAAGAGGCGGAAAAGAGGGCAACAGAAAAACCAACAAAAAAGGATAACACAAAAAATGAAAAAAAAAGAAAAAAACGTGAATAACAAAAGTCACGAAAGCAAAAAAACGATAAAAAAATAATGGTAAAAGGAGCGATAGAAAAAGCACCAAAAAAAAGATAACGTCAAAGACCATTAAAAGGAGAACAAGAAAGAACATAAAAAAACGACAAAAAAAAGGACTCGAGAAAACAACAAAAAGAGTGATACAAAAGGGTATGTATAAAAGGGGAGGCAAAAACGTGATAAACAAAAAACTACAAAAGAAGCAACAAAAAAATACAAAAAGGCAACATAAAAACCAAGAAACAAGGGCAATAAAGAAAGTGATAAAAAAGGAATAAGTCATAAAAAAAAGGCAAAAAAAGATTAAACAATGGACGACAAACGGAGCAACAGACAGGGTAACCAAAAAAATGCCAAAAAAGAGGGACAGAAAACATAAAAAGGACGACAAAAAACAACATAATAAAAAACTAGACACAGAAAAAACTACAAAATGATAAATCAAAAAACCGACCCAAAAATGGAGGCAAAAGGAGCCAGAGAACAAGCAACAAAAGAAAGACAACAAACAAGAGTAGAAGGAGGGCCAAAAACGACACAAAAATTGAAAAAAGCTAAGGAAAACGACAAAAAACGGCTAAAGGAGCGACAGAAAGACTAACAAAAGAGATGACAAAGAAGGCATGAAAATTACAACAAAAACCATAAAAAAATAGCAAAAAAGGGGCAATAAAAAACAAAAATGGCAACAAAGAAGTGATAAAAAAGGAGATAAAACAGAAAAATGGCTAAAAAAAATTGAAAAACAAAACTAAAAAAAAGCGATAAAAGGACCGACAGAAAGACCAACAAATAAAATGACAAATGGGGAGCAAAAAACTACAAAAAAAAAACGACGTCAAAAAAGGCAACAAAGTGATAAAAAGAGGAGATAAAAACGGAGACAAAAACGTAACCAACAAAAAAAGCCACGAAAAAAATGCAACAAAAAAAAGGGCAGCAAAGGCAGATTAATAAAAAAAATGAATTCGACAAAAAAATTACTAAAAGCTGCACAAAAATAAGACAAAAAAGGCGAAAGGGCAACTAAACAACTAAAATAGTGATAAAAAGCGATAAAAACGGAGATAAAACGTGACCAACAAAAGCCACAAAAGAGGCAACAAAAAAACGACAAAAATAAGAGGAAAAAAGGAGCAATAGTAAAAGCAACTAAAAAAAAGATGAAAAAAGGAGGAGACAAAAACGACATACAATAAAGGCAAAAAAAAAAAAAAGAAAAGCAGCAAAAAGGGAACAGAGAGCATAAAAAAGAAACCCATAAAAGACAACACAGAAACAACAGAAAAAGTGACGAAAAAAGAGAAAAAAAAGCGTAAAAAAGCAGTCCCAAAGAGGCAAAAAGACGACTTAAAAAAAGGGCTACAGGCAAAAAGTGATCAAAAAAGAGACAAAAACGTGAATAACAAAAGTCACAAAAAGCCAAAAAACCTATAAAAGGAGAGCAACAGAAAAAAAGACGACAAAAGAGGGCATTAAAATGAGGACAAAAACGACATAAAAAGACGGTAAAAATATAAAAAAAAGGCAAGAAGAAGCGGACAGAAAGAGCATAAAAAATGCCAGAAAAAGCGTAACACGAGAACCAACAAAAGACAGACAAAAGCATGAGCAACCAAATTCACAAAAAAGGAAGAAAATGAGTAAAAAAAGGGGCGGAAAAAGAGCATTGAAAGGGGGACAAAAAAGGACAACAGAAAAAACAACAAAAAAAAAGATAACGAGAAAGAACAAAAATGGACAAAAAAACGACAAAAGAAGGACTAGAAAAAACAACAAAAATAGTTTTACAAAAGGGAGAAAAAACGTGACTAACAAAAAAGGCAACAAAAAAAAAACAAGAAAAAATGGACGACAACAAGGCAATAGCAAAAACTAAGAAAAAAGGGCAACAAAGAAAGTGATAAAAAAGAATAAATCTTAAAAAAGGCAAACAAAGAACGGCAAACGGAGCGACAGAAAGAGTAACCAAAAAAACGACAAAAACAGGGGCAGAACACACATTAAAAAGGGCGACAAAATACAACATTAAAAAAGGCAATAAAAAGCGGGCCACAGAAAAAAAACACAAAAAGTGATAAAAAATCAAAGAACCGACTCAAAAGTGGAGGCAAAAAGAGCGAGAGAAAAAGCAACAAAGAAGAGAAAACAGAAGGACTAAAACGACATAAATAAGCTTTAAAAACCGACAAAACAGTAACAGAAAAACTATAAAAATGCATAAAACTGGAAAAAAGCTAAAAAAACGGCAAAAGGAGTGACAAAAAGGGCATGAAAATGGGGACAAAAAAATATAACAAAAAAGATAAAAAAATATCAAAAAGGGGGCAACAGAAAAGTCATCAAAAAACGCGAGCAACAAACAATTAAAAAAGGAGATAAAACGGAGACGAAAACGTAACCAACAAAAGAGCCACAAAATTAAAAGCAACAAGAAAAAAACGACAGAAAAAGCAATAAAAAAAAATTAAGTCGACCAAAAGCGATAAAAAAAGGAGACAAAAAGACAACAACGAATAAAAAGGCAACAGAGAACCTACAACAAAAGACGTGGCGAAAAAAGATTAAAGCGTGAAAAAGTCACAAAAAGGCAAAAAGGACAGAAACAAGAGCACAGAAAAGGGAACAAAAAAGGGCAACAGAAAAAACAACAAAAAATGGTTGCGTAGACCAAAAAGTGATTAAAAAAGAGATAAAAACGTGAATAACAAAACTCACAAAAAGCCAAAAAACGATAAAAAAAGGACGAGAAAAGAAGCGACAGAAAAGGCAAGAAAAAAAAAGATGACGAAAAAACCAGTAAAAGCTAGAAAAATGGCAACAAAAGCGACAAAAAAAGGACGACAAAAGCGGCGACAGAACAAGCTACGAAGAAGGCGACAAAAAAGGCCATTAAAAAGGGGATAAAACACGACATTAAAAAAGCGATAAAAAAGGCCTAAAAATTATGTATAAAGTCAACGAAAAACCGACAGAAGAAACAGCCAAAAAAAAGGGGACAAAAATGTGTCCATATTTCTAATTTTCATATGGTAAAAATTTATAAAAACATGGATTTTTATTTCAATTTATTTTGTTTTTTTTTTATCTATCGAAATATAAGTATAGAAAATATTTCGTTAACATTTTTTAAATACTTGAAACTGCTAACCCAAAAAATGTGCTCTTTTCAGTAGCTCATTCTTCTTCTTCTTCTTCTTCTTCAAAAAAAAAAAAAATTAAATTGGTCGAACATTTCAGTTTCAATGAAGTTAAAAACTCCACTTTCTGCGATACTTAATAAATGACGAAATTTAGTCAGCAGTATGTGAAGTATTCGTAAAAACATATACGTATACAGTTGGACTTCTATTTAACAAATTCGATAAAACTGAAAACACATCATTGGTAAGTTACACGAGAGTATCTTTCTGGTAAACTACTCAAAAAAATTACACCTTGAAAGTGTGTTCGTGATATTGAAGTTTCACTGTATTTTCGTATGGTGCTGCAGTCACTTTTAACAGGTATTATAAATTTGTTTGGATGTCGCAATTCATAGAGTACAAAAATAGAGATTTTCTAGTTTATCCATGTTATTCAGTTTCCAGCCGGTCCAATGAATTTAATTTGTTTCTTAATTGTTGGTATTTGATTTTTCTACAGTAATAGTACGGAAAAATAACACGTTCAAAGACAACTAATTAGTAAAAATAGACCATTTAGGAAAAACCACAATTTACTGATACTTTATTATAACAGTACACATGGAAAATTTAAATCGCTTAAACTACCCAAAACAGTCACTTTTTGATTACACTCAAGACGACTCCACTCCACGTTGCTTTCTTCTGAAACTACAACAAATCTGGAGCGCACAAAACTGAACATACCAAAAAAACACGAAAACGCAAGGAAAAAAGAGCAAGAATATACTTATAAGGAAAAGGGCACCAAACTCCCTTAGTGCATCGCGGTACATTACCACACCCAAAAATGTCACCACTATTTTGCCCACAATCAAAGCTATCGCAGTCAACACCATGTGTATCATCACACACACCCAATTCTCCTGAAAAAAACCAACAGTAAAAACAGTGCAGCTGTCACATTTACGAAACTAACTTTCCTGATACCATAAAGCAACAAACACCCTTTTGAGACCGTGATTATTCCAGAAGCTAACATAATGTATATGAAAGCCTGGTTGTAGTAGTTGAAACCTAGTAAACCCATTCCAAGGACGCAACCAGTCCCTAGAACCTTGCAAGCGGTAAGTAGTACTAAACAAATTCCAATTACTTACTATCTCGTTCACTGCTTCATAGTTAACGAACATTTTTGCGTACGACGTGAGGTAACTGTAAGACATTTTGTTTTGTGGAAACGGAATTCGATGGTGCGTGTTTCGATAATGAACTAGTTTTTCGTTTCGTAGTGGCTGTATCTATTTTGAGTTTGCCCCTTCTCTGCTAGAGCGAATGTTTGAATTGTTCCGCGGTGCAGCAATTTGGTGTGGTATTAATGGAACGAATTGTGTTTTGGTTAATTTGAGATGACGTCATCAACGTATTGGTGGGGATACAGATAAATACAATACAATGTATACAACGACCATTTATTACATCAGTCTTTCAAAGTACACGTATTTCGCAGCTGCCTGTGCTCCCAAATACTGGTAAAATCGAAACGCGCAAAACTGTATGTACCAAGAAAACCCAAAAAACAACGGAAAGAAGACGAAGTAGACCGTTATGAACATTGAATCGGTGTAAGATTGGATGATCATTGGGGTATATAGGGCCACATATATAACCACTGCTTTGTACAACAGCAAGGACAAAACCGACAACAAAATGTGGACCATCACACATATCCTGTTTTCCTGAAACGTACCCAGTTAAAGTGTCTATTACCATAGCACTTTGGAGTAGTACTTTTTTGATACCGTGCAACAGCAGACACCCCTTCAGCATGGTCAATATTCCACATATCGCTGCATGGTACGTAAAGTGCAAAGTCATAGGATCAAAACCCAGTACCCCGACCATCATGACACCCACGGCCCCCAAAACCTTGAAAACTTCCAATCAACAACATCATCCACAAGAAAAAGTACTCACGATTTCGTTAATCGCCTCATAATCAATGAGAATCTTCCCGTGGGACTTCAAGTAACCGTCCGACATTCTAGAGTACGGGGTTTTTAGACCACTGGATGCGTCGTACAGCTAATGAAACGTCTTTTGCATTCGCACTTGCTGTAGCTATTTTGAGATTGCCCCCCTCCTTGCCAAGCAATACTCGACTGTAAATTTGTTATGATACGTATCGAACGCATCTCCGGACGATTTTCCTCTGGAAATATTCATGATAGGTCGGTTATTTACGCAATTATTTATGCAATTCCAGCTTTGTCGGCACTTGGGGGTGTTTTGGAAAACGCAATTACAATTGTGTATTTACCGCTCAAACGTGTTTCTGGACGACAGCCAATCAGCAACAGTAATTAGTTCGGGTTATTGTTCTAGATGGCGATGAAAAAAAAATTCAACTGGTAAAATGCGTCCCAGTAAATACAGTTGTGACACTCAAAAAACAATGAGTACATCGCATGATTATGTCTTAACGATATACCTATGTAACATCACATTGGAGTACTACGATTATGTAACCAATAAGTAATGTTAACTGTAGTTACTACATATCTGATCAATATATATGTATATACATGCTTCGGAATGCTTTATTTTTATTAGTTAATTATGTAAAGTGCTTTTCAGTTCATTTTACAAAATGGCATGTCCAATCGAAAATTAACGTTTCTAACAGGGCAACACCAAAAAACATTTAAAAACATACATATCGAGTATTATATAGCTCTATTTTATATTTATTATTTATGTTTGTGTTGCAAGTAAATAGTATATTCAAAAACAAAAGATGCTGTGTCTTAAAAAAAGAAATTTCTTCCCTGTCTTAAATCTTGCACAAACGAGATGGCACCAATAGTGAGTTGCTCTTATTTTTTTTTCATATTATATTTCTATGTAATTATATTTACTTATAATTTTATTTTTATACGTCCATAACTCTGCCTATGCATCACTGCCAAAAAGGAACAATTATACATATACAGAATTTTGAAATAAGCTCGAAAAATAAAATCACATATACAGCTTAAAGATTAGAGCTTTTTTTATATTTTTCATTTCCTAGATTCTATTAGTTTTCAATCCCACTCGACAAAAGAACATAATTAGCCCCGCCCACCCACCCTGTCTCATTTTCATTGATCGATTTTATTCGATCTGAATAAAATTAATGATCATATACTGAAAAGAAATAAAATTAGCCGTTAGAATGAGAAGAGGGCGGGTGGGCGGGGCAAGTGCTTGCTAAGATAACATTTATTTTGGAAAATGACATACATTGCAAGAAAATAGTGGGCGGGTGGATGGGGCTAGCATTTGATAAGATAGAACTGATTTTGGCAATTTTGACATTTTCATCCAGTTTTCAACTATTTTCGAAAATAATCCAGTCTGGTCAGGTCTTTTTTTATTTTGCTCACATCCTAGATTCTATTAGTTTCCACTCCCACTCGAAACAAGAAAATAATTAGCCCCGCCCACCCACCCTGTCTCCCTTTCATTGATAAATTTTATTCGATCTGAATAAAATTAATAATCATATACTGAAAAGAAATAAAATTAGCCGTTAGAATGAGAAGAGGGCGGGTGGGTGGGGCTAGTGCTTGCTAAGATAACACTGATTTTGGCAAATGACATACATTGCAAGAAAATAGTGGGCGGGTGGGTGGGGTTAGCATTTGATAACATATAACTGATTTTGGCAATTTTGACATTTTCGTCCAGTTTTCAACTATTTTCGAAAATAATCCAGTCTGGCCAAATCTTTTTTTATTTTTTTCACATCCTGGATTCTATTAGTTTCCACACCCACTTGAAACAAGAACATAATTAACCCCGCCCACCCACCCTGTCTCCTTTTCATTGATAGATTTAATTCGATCTGAATAAAATTAATGATTATATACTGAAAAGAAATAAAATTAGCCGTTAGAATGAAAAGAGGGCGGGTGGGCGGGGCTAGTGCTTGCTAAGGTAACACTGATTTTGGCAAATGACATGCATTGCAAGAAAATAGTGGGCGGGTGGGTGGGGCTAGCATTGTGATAAGATAAAACTAATTTTGGCAATTTTAACATTTTTGTGCAGTTTTCGACTATTTTCGAAAATAATCCAGTCTGGTCAGGTCTTTTTTTATTTTTTTCACATCCTAGATTCTATTAGTTCAGCGATATCGTACTAAAATAAAAATGAATATCAGATGTGGCGATTCACATATAGTTTTACAACACCTTATCAAAATTTAAAAAACCACTATGGTATTATTTGAAATTTATTGTTAAAAATTATAAAAATTGGTCCAAAGTTACTTAGACAGCACTTTCCTCGCTCTTGAAGTCTGGTATAACATATTCAGTTTTGTCAGATAATTGTAAAATTCGATTTAGAGATTTTGTTGCTGATAACGCAGTAAAGAGATCCATCTGGCGAATGACTAACTTTATGTTTTTATATCCAATTTTTGGTTTCTTTATTTATTCAGTTTTTCAAATTTTCAGCCTTTCATTTTTCAATGCCATGATTTCCACGTTTAAAATTTTTCAATTTGCAGTTTTTGGATTTCCAGTCTTTTTCAATTTTTCAGTTTCTTTAATTTTCAATATTTTGATTTTACAATACATATTTCTTCTTTTTTATTTTTCACTTCGAATTTTCGTTTCTTCAAATTTTCATGATTTTCATTTTTGACATTTTTCAATTTTACAGTTTCTCATTTTTCGATTTTTCACATTCTCAGTTTCCAATTTTTGTCATTTTCAATTTTTCGTTTCCTCAATTTTTCAAGTTCTTGATTTTTATTTTTCATTTTCCCGATTTTTTTAAGTTTCATTTTCTCGATTTTATGTCACAAATTTTCATTTTTTCATTTCCTTAATTTTTTGTTGTTTCTTTCGATTTTTCAATTTTTCGTTTCCACAATTTTTCATGTTCCCGATTTTTATTTTTCAGTGTGGCGAATTTTTAATTTTTATTTTCTCGATTTATATCATAATTGTCCGTTTCTTCATATCCTTTATTTTCTGTGGGTTTTTTTCGATTTTACAATTTTTTATTTGTTCAATTTTTCAAATTTTCAGGCTTTGAATTTTCAGTTCCTCCATTTTTCAATTTTAAAATTTTTCACTTTGCAGTTTTTGGATTTCCAGTCTTCCGATTTTCCAATTTCTTTAATTTTAAATATTTCTATTTCATAAGATATATTTCTTTTTTCTATTATTTTTCACCTTTTCGATTCTTAAGATTTTTCAAGTTTTCATTTTGTAATTTTTCCTTTTTTATTTTTGATTTTTCAATTTTCCGTTCCTTCAATTTTTCGGCTTGCAACCGTTTTTCAATTTGGCCATTTTTCAGTACTACAGTTTTTCATTTTTCGATTTTTCAGTTTCTCAATTTTTCGTTTTTCCCTTTTCCAATTTTTTTCCGATTTTTATTTTTCATTTTCCCGATTTTTTAATTTTCACTTTTTCGATTTTATATCACAATTTTCCTTTTTTTGATTTCCTTTATTTTTTGTTGTTTCTGTCGATTTTGCAATTTTTCCTTTATTAAATTTTTCAAATTTTCAGGTTTTTAGCAATTTTTCTTCAAATTTTCAAGTTTGATTTTCACTTTGTACATTTTCAAGTTTTTATTATACGCTTTTTCGATTTTTTATTTTTGATTTTTCAATTTTACAGTTTCTTGACTTCTAAATTTTTCAATTTTTCGATTTGCAATTTTTCAATATTACAGTTTCTCATTTTTCGATTTTTCACATTTTCAGTTTTTAATTTTTGTCATTTTCAATTTTTCGTTTCCTCAATTTTTCAAGTTCTGGATTTTTATTTTTCAGTGTGGCGAATTTTTAATTTTTATTTTCTCGATTTATATCACAATTGTCCGTTTTTTCATTTCCTTTATTTTCTGTGTTTTTTTTTTCAATTTTACAATTTTTTATTTGTCCAATTTTTCAAATTTTCAGGCTTTGAATTTTCAGTTCGTCCATTTTTCAATTTTTAAATTTTTCACTTTGCAGTTTTTGGATTTCCAGTCTTCCCATTTTCTTTAATTTTAAATATTTCTATTTCATAATACATATTTCTTTTTTTTTGATTTTTCACGTTTTCGATTCTTAAGATTTTTCAATTTTACAATTTCTCGACTTCCAAAATTTTCAATTTTTCGGTTTGCATCAGTTTCTTAATTTTTAATTTTTCCCTTTTCCAATTTTTTGTTTCCGATTTTTATTTTTCATTTTCCCGATTTTTTAATTTTCACTTTTTCGATGCTATATCACAATTTTCCTTATTTTCTGATTTCCTTTATTTTTTGTCGTTTCTTTCGATTTTACAAATTTTCCTTTATTAAATATTTTAAATTTTCAGGTTTTTTAGCAATTTTTCTTCAAATTTTCAAGTTTGATTTTCACTTTGTACATTCTTTCAGTTTTTATTATACACTTTTTCGTTTTTTTATTTTTGATTTTTCAATTTTACAATTTGTCGACTTCCAAATTTTCCAATTTTTCAATATTACAATTTCTCATTTTTCCATTTTTCACATTCTCGATTTTTAATTGTGCCCTTTTTCAATTTTCCGTCCCCTCAATTTTTCAACTCTCCGATTTTTATTTTGCATTTTCCTGATTTTTTATTTTTCATTTTCTCGGTTTTATGTCGCAATTTTTTGTTTTTTCATTTCCTTGATTTTTGTTGTTTCTTTCGATTTTCCAATTTTTCGTTTATTCAACTTTTCAAATTTTCAGGCCAATCGATTCCAATTCGTCGATTTTCCAATTTTTAATTTTTCAGTTTGCAGTTTTTGGATTTCCACCCCTTTTATACTTTTTGGATTTTCAATTTTTCGTTAAACTGTAGATTTCTCAAATTTTCGACAGTTTTAGACTTTGATTTCTAAATTTAAATTCTGGAATTTCGATTTGTCGATTTTTCAGTTTTTCGATTTTTAAGTTTTAGATTTTCGAATTTTTCTTTTTTGATTCTTTGATGTTTGGATTTTAGATTTTTCGATTTCTGGATTTTTTGATTTTCCAGTTCTTCAGTATTTCTATTTTCCAATTTTTCAAATTTTGACGTTGCTAAATTTTCAATTTTCCGATTTTTCGATTAATATACATTTTTTTTTTATTTTACCGTTTCTCGAATTCGCAGTTTCGATTTTTCAGTTCTTCAATTCTTCAGTTTTTCGTTTTTTAAACTTTAGATTTTTCAATTTTCCACTGTTCTATATATATTTCGATTTGTGAATTTCTCGAGTTTTCAATTTTTTGAGGACTTGTTTCGATTTTTCGATTCATCGGTTTTTCGTGTTTTTACTTTTCGGCTGTTCGATTTTTGAATTTTCCGATTTTTCAGTTTTCCGATTTCTCAATTAATCTATTTTTTGGTTTTCCCATTTTCGACTTGCGAAGGTTTCGATTTTTTAGCTTATCAGTACCTCAATTTTTCGATTTTTCAGACTCCAGATTTTTCAATTTTTCGGCTTTTCGATTTCCCAATTTTTCAATTTTTTAATTTTCCAATTTTTGGATATTTCGTTCAATTTTGTGAGTTTTCTCAGTTTTTCGATTCTTCAATTTTTCAATTTTGGGATTTTTTAGTATTTCGACTTGAACAATTATGTATTTACCGCTCAAACGTATTTCTGGACGCCACAACGGTAACAAGTGAGATAACTGTCAGACATTTTGTTTCGTGGAAGCGGAATTTCAATGCGTGTTATGATAATGAACTAGTTTTCTAGTTTTACTGTATCTATTTTGAGGTTGTCCCCTCTCTGCTAGAACGAATGTCTTAGTTGTTCCGAAATGGAGCAATGTGTCGTGGTATTAATGGAACGACTTATATTTTTGTTAATTTCAGATGACGACATCAAACTATTGGTGGGGATAGTCAGATAAATACAATACAAAACCACTGGTTAAACAATGAAATGAAATTCTTCTAAACGTATACAACGACAATTTATTCCACCGTTCTTCCAAAAAATACACATTTTTCGCAACTAGCTGTTTCCCAAATACTGGTAAAATCGAAAGGCACAAAACTGTATGTACCAAAAAAACGCCCAAAGCAACGGACAGAGGACGAAATACACCGTTATGAAAAGCGCATCGATGTACACATGCATGTCCATTAGGGTAGATATGACCTCATATATAATCGCTACTTTGTACAACATCAAGAACAGAATCGACAACACTATGTGCACCATCACACATATTCTATTTTCCTGAAAATTACAAAGTGAAAATGACCATGACCACAGCATCTTGAAACAGTACTTTTTTGATACCATACAACAACAAAAATCCTCTCAACATGGTCAATATTCCATATATCGCCACATGGTATGCAAAATCCAAAATACCAGGAAGAAAACGCAATAACCCGATCGTCATGATGGCCACGGCCCCAAAAACCTTGAAAAATTCCAATCAACAACATCATCCACACGAAAAAGTACTCACAATTTCGTTAATCGCCTCATAATCAACCAAAATCTTCCTGTGGGACTTCAAGTAATCGTCCGACATTCTACAGTATGGGGTTTTTAGAACACTAGATGGACGCTACAGCCAATGAAATATCTTGCTGTAGCTATTTTGAGATTGCCCCCCTCCTTGCCAAGCAATATTGTAAATTTATTATGATACGTATCGAACGCATCTCCCAAAACGATTTTTCCTCTGGAAATATTCATGATAAATCGGTTATTTACGACGCCGCAATTATTTATGCAATTCCAGCTTTGTCGGCACTCGGTCGGGTGTTTTGGTAAACGCAATTACAATTATTTACCGCTCAAACGTATTTCTGGCCGCCAGCCAATCAGCAACATGTAATTAGTTCGGGTTATTGTTCTAGATGGCGATAAAAAAAAAAATTCAACTGGGTCAAAATCAGGGAGGCATGTAGACATTGAAGAATTCATTGGTATGGGTCGGGATTTGAGTGTCCGAAAAAACTTCAACTAACTCAATTCCAAGAACCCCCCGGCTTTAAAATAGCCGTTCCAGTTTAAACCCGACTTTCCAAATACTGAGGAAAATAAAAAAAGACGGAAAAAATCAGCTGTTTCGGTAAACATCAACAACATGGGATTTTTTTTCTGGGCGGCGTACGCTCGACCGTGCCAAGAACTCCTCGCTTGGCAACTGACGTTCGGAATCACGAGCCAAAATCTATGTTATATTAATACACCTGCGGTTTTATTAATAGAAAAATGAGGATGATTGGTCGGGTGGTGTCGAGGTGGAGCCACCTACCTTGATTCCTTCGTGGAAAAAACAGTCCATCACGCGGACGAGGTGCTGGAAGGGAAGACCCTGGAATATCCACCAGATCCAGTCCATGTAGATGCGCTCGGCTCTCGAGCTGGGGCAGTGCCTTTGGAGGTGAACGGCGGCGCTCTTCTGGAAAAATAAGAAAATTCCGTTGAATTTAAACAAAAAAAAATTGGTCAATAAAAATCACCATTAAACATTACGAAAGTTTTTTCAATCAATTTTTATCAAGCTTCTGCTTTCCCTAGAATATCTTCTAGAATCCTTTTAACGACACTTTTTTTCTTTTTAGAAATATTCGAACTCGAATGAAAATCTTTTCAAAATCTTGTTTTTGGAGTTGTGGCATATGGGTACTTTCTGTTTTGGACCTTTTCATTTTGATTAATTACATTTAAATACAGATTCGTAAGACTGAGATTTTTTTTGCACGACTTAAGATAAGATTGATTTTGGTAAATGACATATCTTCTAAGAAAAAAAAGGGCGGGTGGGCGGGAATACTACTTTTTCATAAAACTAGAAAAACTCTAAATTTAGCGAGTAAAAATATTACTATGTGGCCATAAAAACGCTATAATTTTGGAATCAGTACATCAACGTGACTACGAATTTTTAGACGAACTTTTCAAAATTGAAATTTTGCACAATTTTCGAAATTTGACTAAAAAAATTTTCGTTTGGATTTCGGGCCGCAGGAGTCACTTCCGGCTTCATTTCTTAGATAATTTTAGTCGATTTCCCAGAATCGCGCATTGAAATATATCAATTTAAAAAAAAGTTAAAAAATTCGAATTTCACACCGAATATTTAGTAAATATTGCTCCGTGACCCTAAATACGCTATATTCTATAAGGTCTATTCCTGAATTTTTTGAGAATTTTTAGACGACTTTTCCGAAAATGAAATTTTCCACTATTTATGCAAATTTCGACCCATCTTCGACGATTTTCGATATTTAACTAAATACATTTTCTTGTAGATTTCGGGCCGCAGAAGTCAATTCCGGCCTCACTGCTTCGATAACTCTAATCGTTTTTCCAGAATCGCCCATTGAAATATCGCAATTTTTAAAAATTTCATTGAGATCGGATAAAATGAATCACTGAAAAGGAGGCAGGGTGGGTGGGCGGGACTAATTTTGTACTTTTGTCAAAGTGCTAAACGTATTTTTTTTTATTGTACTATTTACTGAAAAATTTATATTTCATGCTCCTCACCAGACTCTGGATAATTTACGAAAATAATCGAAAATTTATTGGAAATGTCAAAAGTACCAAAATCTGTATTTTCTTATCAAATACTAGCCCCGCCCTCCCACCCACTACTTTCTTAGAAGATATCTCATTTGCCAAAATCAGTCGTATCTTAGCAAATACTAGCCCCGCCCACCCACCCTCTTCTTGTTCCAACGACAAATTTTATTTGTGTTCAGTTTAAGACCAATGATTTTATTCACATCGGATAAAATCGATCTCTGAAAAGGAGACAGGGTGGGTGGGCGGGGCTAATTATGTTCATGTGCCGAGTGGGAGTGGAAACTAAAAAGACTCTAGGATGTGACAAAAAGTAAAAAAAAAAATTGGTAATGATATATTTTTTTTTATTATACTATTTGCTACAAGATTTATTTTTTATTTCATTCACCTGACCAGACTCTGGATAATTAACGAAAATAATCGAAAAATGATTGAAAATGTCAAAAGTGCCAAAATCTGTCTTATCTTAACAAATACTAGCCCCGCCCTCCCAATCTCTACTTTCTTACAAGACATCTCATTTGCCAAAATCAGTCTCATTTTAGCATATACTAGCCCCGCCCACCCACCCTCTTCTTGTTTTAACGACAAATTTGATTTAATTTCAGTTTAAGACCATTGATTTTATTCACATCGGATAAAATCAATCTCTGAAAAGGAGACAGGGTGGGTGGGCGGGGCTAATTATGTTCTTGTGCCGAGTGGGAGTGGAAACTAATAAGACTATAGGATGTGACAAAAAGTAAAAAAAAAAAATGGTAGTAATATATTTTTTTTTATTATACTATTTGCTACAAAATTTATTTTTTATTTCATTCACCTGACCAGACTCTGGATAATTAAGGAAAATAATCGAAAATTTATTGGAAATGTCAAAACTACCAAAATCTGTATTTTCTTATCAAATACTAGCCCCGCCCTCCCACCCACTACTTTGTTAGAAGATAGCTCATTTGCCAAAATCAGTCGCATCTTAGCAAATACTAGCCCCGCCCACCCACCCTCTTCTTGTTCCAACGACAAATTTTATTTGTGTTCAGTTTAAGACCAATGATTTTATTCACATCGGATAAAATCGATCTCTGAAAAGGAGACAGGGTGGGTGGGCGGGGCTAATTATGTTCATGTGCCGAGTGGGAGTGGAAACTAAAAAGACTCTAGGATGTGACAAAAAGTAAAAAAAAAAAATTGGTAGTGATATATTTTTTTTTTGTTATACTATTTGCTACAAGATTTATTTTTTATTTCATTCACCTGACCAGACTCTGGATAATTAACGAAAATAATCGAAAAATGATTGAAAATGTCAAAAGTGCCAAAATCTGTCTTATCTTAACAAATACTAGCCCCGCCCTCCCACCCTCTACTTTCTTACAAGATATCTCATTTGCCAAAATCAGTCTCATCTTAGCCAATACTAGCCCCGCCCACCCACCCTCTTCTTATTCTAACGACTAATTTTATTTCTGTTCAGTTTAAGACCATTCGTTTTATTCACATCGGATAAAATCAATCTCTGAAAAGGAGGCAGGGTGGGTGGGCGGGGCTAATCATGTTTTTCTGTCGAAAGGTAGTGGAAACTAATAGACTCTTGGATGTGAAAAAAATTAAAAAAAAAGCCAATCATAGTTTTTTTATATTATACTATTTGCTACAAAATTTATTTTTTATTTCTTGCACCTGACTAGACTCTGGATAATTTATGAAAATAATCGAAAAATGATTGAAACTTTCAAAACTGCCAAAACCTGTCTTATCTTATCAAATACTAGCCCCGCCCACCCACCCAGTACTTTCTTACAACAAAACTCATTTGCCAAAATCAGTCTCATCTTAGCAAATACTAGCCCCGCCCACCCACCCTCTTCTTATTCTAACGACTAATTTTATTTCTGTTCAGTTTAAGACCATTCATTTTATTCACATCGGATAAAATCGATCTCTGAAAAGGAGGCAGGGTGGGTGGGCGGGGCTAATCATGTTCTTCTGTCGAGAGGTAGTGGAAACTAATAGACTCTTGGATGTGAAAGAAATTAAAAAAAAAATATCCAATCATAATTTTTTTATATTATACTACATATTTGCGACAAAATTTATTTTTTATTTCATGCACCTGACCAGACTCTGGATAATTTACGAAAATAATCGAAAAATGATTGAAAATGTCAAAAGTGCCAAAATCTGTCTTATCTTATCAAAAACTAGCCCCGCCCTCCCACCCACAACTTTCTTACAAGATATCTCATTTGCCAAAATTAGTCTCATCTTAGAAAATACTAGCCCCGCCCTCCCACCCACTACTTTCTTAGAAGATAACTCATTTGCCAAAATCAGTCTTATCTTAGCAAAAACTAGCCCCGCCCACCCACCCTTTTCTTGTTCTAACGACAAATTTTATTTCTGTTCAGTTTAAGACCATTGATTTTATTCACATTGGATAAAATTAATCTCTGAAAAGGACACAGGGTGGGTGGGTGGGGCTAATTATTTTCTTGTGCCGAATGGGAGTGGAAACTAATAAGACTCTAGGATGTGACAAAAAGGAAAAAAAAAAGGTAGTGATAATGTCTTTTTTTATTATACTATTTGCTACAAAATTTATTTTTTATTTCATTCACCTGACCAGACTCTGGATAATTAACGAAAATAATCGAAAAATGATTGAAAATGTCAAAAGTGCCAAAATCTGTCTTATCTTAACAAATACTAGCCCCGCCCTCCCACCCACTACTTTCTTAGAAGTTATCTCATTTGCCAAAAAGAGTCTCATCTTAGCAAATACTAGCCCCGCCCACCCACCCTCTTCGTATTCTAGTGACTAATTTTATTTCTGTTCAGTTTAAAACCATTCATTTTATTCACATCGGATAAAATCAATCTCTGAATAGGAGGAAGGGTGGGTGGGCGGGGCTAATCATATCTTCTGTCGAGAGGTAGTGGAAACTAATAGACTCTTGGATGTGAAAAAAATAAAGAAAAAATTGTCAATCATAATTTTTTTATATTATAATATTTGCTACAAAATTTATTTTTTATTTCATGCTCCTGACCAGACTCTGGATAATTTACGAAAATAATCGAAAAATGATTGAAAATGGCAAAAGTGCCAAAATCTGTCTTATCGTATCAAATACTAGGCCCGCCCTCCCACCCTCAACGTTTTTAGAGGATCTGTCATCTGCCAAAATCAGTCTTACCTTATCAAGTACTTGCCCCACCCACCCACCCTCTTCTTATTCTAACGACTAATTTTATTTCCGTTCAGTATAAGACCAACCATTTCATTCACATCGGATAAAATCAATCTCTGAAAAGGAGGCAGGGTGGGTGGGCGGGGCTAATTATGTTCATCTGTCGAGTGGGAGTAGAAACTAAAAGACTCTTCAGATGTGGAAAAATAAAAAAAAATAGCTAATCATATTTTTTTTTATTATACTGTTTGCTACAAAATTTATTTTTTTATTTCATTCACCTGACCAGACTCTGGATAATTTACGAAAATATGTAATCGAAAGATGATTGAAAATATCAAAAGTGCCAAAATCTGACTAATCTTATCAAATACTAGCCCCGCCCTCCCACCCTCTATTTTCTTACATGATATCTCACTTGTCAAAATCAGTCTCATCTTAGCAAATACTAGCCCCGCCCACCCACCCTCTTCTTATTCTAGCGACTAATTTTATTTCTGTTCAGTTTAAGACCATTCGTTTTATTCACATCGGACAAAATCAATCTCTGAAAAGGAGGCAGGGTGGGTGGGCGGGGCTAATCACGTTCTTCTGTCGAGAGGTAGTGCAAGCCAATAGACTCTTGGATGTGAAAAAAATAATACATAATAAAAAAGCGCTAAACGTATTTTTTTATTAT